CTGGCTGAATATAACATTGCATTATTCCTTGTAGCATTTTAATTACAGGTTCCCAAACAACTTTATAAAGCTTTAAGTTAATTGCCTCCAATGGTTTGCAAATTTACTTATTTTAACATGACAAAATAAAGTTCAGATTAAACCTGTACAATTGTTATACTGGTAAAAGTATCTCACAATAGAAGAAAGACCAAAGAAGAGAGATCAAAGATATTGGGCCATCATCTTACGCTCAATAGATAATATGGTCAGCTGTGAGACATAAAAGGTAGACTGGTTTAGCAAGTATTGCAGAAAAATGAAACCTTTCATGCTTTGGAACTTAATTTCTGGCCCAAAGCAGCATGCCATCTTAAAAGCTATGTACAAAAGCAGAGACAAAGTGAATTAATGCTGGCATGTTCATACTGATGTGCTAAATAACTACTATGAAAATCAATACAAAACTTGTTTTGTAAACGCAAAGCACATGTAGTTTCTATATGTAATGACTATGGGGCAAATCACGCATCCCTGCTGCTCCCTATGGTGGCTGTCTGTCTGCAGAGCTTCCTCTAAATGCCACTGAGCAAGGAGCATTTCCTCTGTATGGGAAAGAGCAAAGGGCAAGACTGAATACAACTGGATTTAGTGCTAAGCACTGCAGGCTCCTCACCCCACTGATAGCTTCCTCTCACTTGCCCCTCCACACTGGGCTAAAATTTGTAAAGAGAAAGAGGTGCTGTTATTCCTTCATGCCTGTATGGGTGTGTTTTTCCTCTGGGGGGAAGAGAAGAGGACTATAATTATGTCCATGATTTGGTGTTTCTCCCCAGGATGATATATACTTTTTTTCACGGTGTAATTATCATAGATTATTTATACCTAGAGACTTCAACAGATATCAGGGCATCATTGTGCTAGTCATTGTGCAAACTCATAAGAGACAACCCTTGCTGAACTCAAACTATACAGACATCTCAGACAGAGTGGGAGAAGGCAATTATTATCATCATCATTTTATAGATGGGGAATTGAGACAGAGGGAGATTAAATAGGTAATACAGGGAGTCTGCAATAAAGTCAGAATTTGAACACAGATACAACTTATACACATACACACAAATACCAGATGTATGGACAGAAAACACTTTTGGACATATTTTCTATTAAAGTTAATGGAACTTATGTCTAAATTCCCTAGACTGCTTTTAAAATCTCAAATATGGCCTATTAAATATCTAACACATGCAAGGTAATTTTGTGTACCTGTCTGAAAATTTAGGCTTTAATTCAATAATATAATGTTTTGTGCAAAACTGGAGAAGGAAAAAGACTGTTTTGTTAACAAGAACTCAGAAAGCTTTTAGAAAGGGATCAAAAAAGATTTCCAGAAGTAGAATGAAGACAGAGAGCAGATGGGACACAGAATGTGAGTGTGTGAGGTTAAAAGTTCAGCAACTGGGCTAAGCAGAGTATTCAGGGTGGAAAGCCTAGGCTTGAAGTTAAAAGTTCCTCCAAGACCTTTTTTCTGCAGAAGCTGAGGACTGAAAACTCAGTACTTAAGTGAGATGCACAATTACCACCTAGGTCAGAGAAAAACATCTCTGTATGGTAAGATGGTTAAGTAGGAGATGGAAGGATGTCTACCAGTTCCTGCAGAGTCTAGGGACAGAACACAGGAAGGGAAAGCTGCACACCTAGTACCTTGGGTGAGTTTATGGGAGAAGAACTGAGTCGAGCCAGACACAAGAAGTGGAGAATCCTTCACTAGATCCTAGATCTCCGGTCAGCTGCCTCCCCTTGGACCTGTAACCTGGACAGAAACTAAATAATATCCCACACTCCGTGCATACTAAAAACTTAGCTGGAGTAAAAAAATTTTCACATTAATGACCAGCTAAGAGTCACTTGCAATACACAATTTTTAAACTGTAATCGATTCTCCAGTTTCCAGTAGAAAAAATAAATATGATTTAGATCTCATACTGAAAAACTGACAGCTAGAATAAGAGATAACTTTTTAAGTTTCAACATTTTACTTGAAAAACATAATAAGAAATTTTCACCTAATTTGAGCGGATTGTTTAATGTGATTGGCAATGAAATGCTGTTATCTGAATGAATTATGAAATGCTCCAGACCCTACATCATACATTGCTCTACAAACCAGCCAAGAACTACAGAACTGAATTGTATTTTTTTATCACTTGTATGTTTTTTCTTTATTTCTTTTAACAGATAATAAAAATAGAATTTAGTTTGCTATTTGAGGCCTGGGTTCTCAGTCTTGGATGATACCAAATGCTAATTAATTTGCACTTTTTTCTGTTGTGAATTTTTCTATCTGATAGAACCTATCAATAGTGAGAATTTTATAGGAAAAAGAAATGGTTTGTGGAAGGAGACACTGTGGGTAAAATCCTGGACCACTGAAGTCAATGTCACAACTCCCATTTCACCCTATGTGCATTTGAGTTCTAGAAAGGGAACAAAAGGGTGTCGAGCCGCATGCACAATTCAGTTCTGGAAGGGAAAGAGGGAGCCATTTTGAGAGGCAGAAAAGTTATCAAACCACCTATTTGCTGCGTTAATCATTTGGAGGAAGAGGTATCAGAGTAATGGTTGCTGGAAGCCAGCTTAGTAGGCTTGGGAGCTGCTGCACCTAGCCCCAGAACAAAGATAAGGGGCAGACATAGAAGGAATGAGATCCCAGCACAGAGATATTATCACAATAGGGACCAGCTAGAATGCAGATAAATGTGAAGCTGAAAAAGCTTCACAGGCAAAAAAAAAAAAAAAGTCTTCAGCCAGCAAAGAGAAAAAAATAGACTGGGGAAAAGTAAATGGAATTCTTTAAAGTATTTCAAACAGCAATTTTAGATGTGGGACTAACAGGTACTGAAAAGAAAATGTAGGAATAGATGCACCAAGGTAGAGTGAAAGGAACTGAAAACGGAAAGGCAATAGAACAAAACCTAAGGAGAGACAGGGTGTTACATTTTTCAAAGCATTTTAAATCTTATTTTATATACGATTGCACAAATCTTATATAAACACACAACTGTTTCATTGTACATACATCTGGATATGCACATAATACAATTCCTTCAGTACAGAAGGAGAGATTGTTCTGATTAAGTCAAATTACACAAGCAGGTAAACATGACTTATAATAGAGGCAGCCTCACATGATAAATCTTTCCTTTTTAACAGCAACCACTATGTGGTTGTGTAGTTTGTGTGTAAAGATGTTTCACACACTGTTTCACCATATTTTAAATGTAAATTCCTAATGGAAGGAGGAGCTGCTCTGGAGCATCATGAGCAGGGCAGAGGGACTTCCAGTGACTTTCAGAGATCAAGGACATCTGTAGAACAAGTTCCTTGTCCCTACTGCTAACTTGATGTCCAAAATTACTCCATTCACAACAACTCTCATGGGATTAAATATGCTGACATCATACAAATAGCGAAGGCATTCTATTGATGCAAATTATGGGATTGAAAAACAATGGAAAACATTTGGAGAATATGATCAAATGCATGAGATAATAACTTCTCTGCATCGTGATGGTTGGGTAAACCACACAATATAGTGCAATGTGAGGCTTTAAACTCCAGAGATATATTTGCACAAAATGCAGCCTTTCCTATCGGTAAAAGTTTCAAAAGTGTTTAGCAATTTAATGTAAAAAGGGTAATTATTTTGCCAAGATCTTTGTTGTTTTGGTGCAAAGTAAATACTACAAAGGTGTGAATACAGCAGAGCTGTTTCGAGGCTGATTTCAGCTGAATTTCTATTGCTGTATGCAAACATAAGGGACTGACAAACTAAGACGCCACAAATGCCAACCTTCTCCAACTCTTTCAGAGCTAAATTGCCTAAGTGCATGTTTTGTGTGTAACTCAGGTAACAACTGCTGACATTCAGGTGTTCAGGTCATTTGCAAGCTTATTTTTGGAGGGACTTTGTGAAGAAAAGGTTTCCTATAACATCTCCTTCACTGATCACCTGCTTTAAAAAACCCAGAAGCCAACATTCCTAGCCACTCCTAACAACAAATGTTCTTTTCTGTAAAACAATGAAAAAACATTGGAGAGTTTTCTCACCGGTAAGAATTTTAATTGGGTTAAGCCACTAAAATGTCATAACAAGAGAAATGTCTTGTTGTGCATGTTAATACTTAGTTATTACACAGTGCTTTTCATCTTCAAAACTCTTTAGAAATATTAAGCACCGATCCCTGAAGACCGTATGCACAATTTCCATTGCCCTCCATAGGAAATTTGCATGAGTAAAACTTGAGTAAAGACTTAGGACTGGGCTCTAACTTATTAACCTACATGTCTCATCCATGTTAGGTAGATAAGCATTATTCCCACATGAGATGGAACAATGGAAGCAGAAAATAACAGATCAGGCCATGCCTCCGCTTTTCAAAAGCATGGCACTCCTCTCTCTGCTTTTTGATTATTGAGTGTTTCAGAACCAAACTTGAATAGTTTGTTTGTTTGTTTTGCCACGATCATATCAACATGCCTTCCAATTGCCTATTCATCTCTAGACCAGAGAACAAAAAACAAGCTGGCTGAAACTGTGAGGATTTACACCATAATACACAGCTCCAGACCGGATACCCTTGATTCAAACAACTAGGCATATAAAAACTCATTTGTTAAGATTCAATCAGGAATCATTAGCTGGAGTTACATTTTGCTCCACATAAACATACATTATGTTCCTAGCAAATGTATTTTAAAAGTTTCCTGCACTACAAAAACCCTTTAGTACTAATTATTCTATTGTCTGAGGAAGACTTAACTTCACCTCTAATTGCTACTGCAGATATGCTGTTTTTGAGATGAACTTTTAACATTGCTTAGAACATAGAGCTGTTCAGCTGCAATCACTTTTAACAGCTCATGACCCATAGGATGTGCATTATACTGGAGCTTTTAATAATGAAATTCTTTGGTGCAAACATGTGACATTGGTGAACAATTTTCTTTGTACTTACCATATGAATTTTATGCCGCTTCGCTGAATACAGGATGTAATATATTTGGGCTTTTTATTGCTTGAGTAGAAAGTGCTCATTACCTATTTGTTTATGTTTATATATAGGAAAAAAACAGTTTTTCAAGTGGCATACATCACACTGTTGTAGTGGTTGACTTTCTCAAGATGGTCTTCTGGGGTTTTGGTGCAGTTTGTGGAGGCACAGTCGCAGGTCTGAGAGGGGGAAAGCTATTACTGGGACTCATTCCCAACCCTCCATTTTCTAGAGGAAATGGAGGAAGAGGGGGAGGAGGCGGCGGTAAAGGAGGACATTGGTGAGGAAGCTTTCCCAGCGTGTGGGCCGGCTCGCTGTGTAAGTGGACCTCCCTGTTTTTAATGTTATACCGAACGTCACAATCAGGGCAATACCCATGGTACTGCACTTTCTCACTAAATCGTACCCGTTCCCGGGTTCCTGTCTGAGGACACCTGTCTTTATCAGGTCTATGAATCAGAGGATGCATTGGAACTTTGTCCAAGTTACTATTAGGTATACAAAATACATCCCCATTAGGAATCTTGTTTGGTCCTCCTGGTAAACCTCCATTTCGAAGTAGGGTCCCATTAGTCTTTACAGGGTTGGCAGAAGGAACAGGCCTGTGAGGGTCTTCACACTTTACAGGAGTCAACCGTGGTGGAGGTGGTGGTGGATTGGGTTTCCTCAGTACGGTGAGAATGGCAGATGGGTGTGCTGGTGGCTTGATGAGAGGTGCATTAGCACGCACTTTGGCTTTCTCCAAGCTGGACGCTGTTGTGCTGCTTGAGCTGCTGTTCAGCGTGTCAGTTTTGGAACTGTCTGTCATCTCATCCTCCAGCTGCAGGTCAGATGTCAATGTGTCAATCTGGTCAACCACCTACATGGAAATCAGAACACAAACAGTGATAAAGGATCACCACAGTAAAGGCAAACAAACAAAGCTTTATTCACAATCATCTTTATCCCCTTCCTGAAACTGAAACATTTGAATATTCAGTTTTATGAACCATTGTTTCTTTTTTCTTCTTATATAAATCTAGTTTATTTTTTTTTAAATATCTGTGGTTAGTCCTCTCATCTGAATACAATGGGATATAATTTTAGTTTCTCTGCAATGAAATTCTGTATTTTTTCTCCAGGGCTTGCCTACCAATAACATGCTGTTTGAACTATAAACCTTCAGTAACACAGTTTGCCTCACCGTGTGGGGGAAGGCTGAATGATTTAACCTCAGTTTGTTCAGGATGATTTTTGAATCCAGACCTACTGTAGATGATCTTTTAGGTTTGACCTTTCACAAAATCCAGATTTAAAAACATATCTCGGAATTGGAGATATTGTAAATATATCGTCTAAAGTTAACATACAAGCCTATCTGAACAATTTTTACACAAACTGCTAAAGATTCAAGTAGTGAGTAGCAGCTACCAACTTATCTTGACCACACATTCTCCTTTTGTGACTATTTACTTGAGAGATCTGACTCCCCCTAAACCAAATCTGAAATAGGGTCATTTATAAGATAAAGATATTGTAACTGTTTATTCCTGAAGAGGATAATTCACTCTATTTCATGCATTTTATATTAAGAGGATTCTCTATCTACCATACTTCTAATGCACTTACACTCACTTCCCTAGTATCTAGGTTTTTCTAATCTAGTCTTCTATTTTCCAATTTATGATCATACTTTATATGTTTTGTTTATATATTATGTAATGTTCCTACATAACATAATGTTATGTAGGTATACAAAACTTTGTACACTATGATTAAAAGCCCATCCTGAAAAATGCACCTATTCAGGTGCTAGTAGAACAAAGGACTGTAATTCAGGTACTTTTGTGAACGATATGTTTCAAAGTGACAATACATTAATTCTGTTGTAATTCTTCAGAAAAGGTTGAAATTCAAGATAATACAGTAATATTTATTACAGCTAGTCTAATTATTCTTTGTGAGTAAATTTACCTGAAGAATTTAGCCCCTTTTCTCTTAAGAATCATTTGGAATTTCTATGGCCTGGTCTACAATTAAAACAGGATTGAAATAGCTACATGGCACTCAGGGGTGTGAAAAATCTACAGCTATGATGACCTAGCCCCCGGTGTAGGTACAGCTAGGTTGACAGAAGAATGCTTCCGTTGAACTAGACACCATCACTCATAGAAATGGAGTTCCTACAGCAACAGAAAAACCTCTTCCATTGCTGTAGTCTGCATCTACACTAAAGGGTTATAGCACCATAGCTATGTCATCGTAGCTATGCCACTGTAGTGCCCTTAGGGTAAATGTGGCCTATGAAAGTACTTCTATTTCACAATATTTGAATACTATAGGAAAATAACTTGTTAATTAAGAGACAAATTCTTCTCTGTGCTGAAGTCTCAGATTTGGCATCTTGTTTTTTGTGATAAACAAATAAGGACCAAATTCTACCCTCAGAGGTATATGTTTACATCAGAAGAATTTGGTTCAGATGAAGATGGAGATGAGATACTATGAAAGGTGCGGCACCTCACCAGCTTCATCACCACCAAGGGGAGAGTATATTATTTCTCTCCCCTATTTGTATTTAGGTAATGCCCAGTGGCCTCAAAATGTAGTTGGATTCCCTTTGTGCTAGTCACTGTACAAACACATAGTAAGAGCCACTTCTTTCTCCAAAGATCCTACAGGGAGAAAAAAAAAATACATTCCTAACTCCAATTTACACATTGGAACTGAGATTAAGGAGTCATTTAATCTCTTTAAGTCACATAGGGAGTCTGTGACAGAACTGTGACTCTACGAGGATGAATGGGGCACTAGGCCCCTGACAGTGCAAGCTGATCCACACAGGCTCAGTGTAGCTTCACATTGTCATAAATATAAAGGGAAGGGTAAACCCCTTTGAAATCCCTCCTGACCAGGGGAAAGCTCCTCTCACCTGTAAAGGGTTAAGAAGCTAAAGGTAACCTCGCTGGCACCTGACCAAAATGACCAATGAGGAGACAAGATATTTTCAAAAGCTGGGAGGAGGGAGAGAAACAAAGGGTCTGTGTGTCTGTCTATATGCTGGGTTTCTGCCGGGGATAGACCAGGAATGGAGTCTTAGAACTTTTAGTAAGTAATCTAGCTAGGTATGTGTTAGATTATGATTTCTTTAAATGGCTGAGAAAAGAATTGTGCTGAATAGAATAACTATTTCTGTCTGTGTATTTTTTTTGTAACTTAAGGTTTTGCCTAGAGGGGTTCTCTATGTTTTTGAATCTAATTACCCTGTAAGATATCTACCATCCTGATTTTACAGGGGGGGGGGATTTCTTTATTTCTATTTACTTCTATTTTTATTAAAAGTCTTCTTGTAAGAAACTGAATGCTTTTTCATTGTTCTCAGATCCAAGGGTTTGGGTCTGTGGTCACCTATGCAAATTGGTGAGGCTTTTTATCCAACATTTCCCAGGAAAGGGGGGGTGCAAGTGTTGGGAGGATTGTTCATTGTTCTTAAGATCCAAGGGTCTGGGTCTGTAGTCACCTAGGCAAATTGGTGAGGCTTTTTACCAAACCTTGTCCAGGAAGTGGGGTGCAAGGTTTTGGGAAGTATTTTGGGGGGAAAGAAGCGTCCAAACAGCTCTTCCCCAGTAACCAGTATTAGTTTGGTGGTGGTAGCGGCCAATCCAAGGACGACGGGCGGAATATTTTGTACCTTGGGGAAGTTTTGACCTAAGCTGGTAAAGATAAGCTTAGGAGGTTTTTCATGCAGGTCCCCACATCTGTACCCTAGAGTTCAGAGTGGGGGAGGAACCTTGACAACATGAGTGTAAGGGTCTTCCTGTATAGAGCAGCTTGGAGAATTGGGCCCAGGAAGAGCCAAGAGGCAAAGTTTTCTGTGCCAACAAATAACAGCTACAGAACTGAATGATACAACACAGAACAGAGAAGATAGCTAAGCTGTCAGCCAGGGAGAGAACTCAGCCATTAGGCAACTGAAGGCAGGGGGAAGAAAATACATATCTAGTGGCAACCTCCTAACTACCACAGGAGCTGTTCCAGTAAGCAGTGTGGCCAGGGTTGCTTGGAGTGGTAAAAGCATACTGACCCGACTGGTAAAGACCCAACTGGTATTATGCTTGGCTTTGAACAATGTTTAATAACAGATTCAGCAGCTGTGTCAAAATGCCAGGGGGTAGCTGTACGTCTCTTGTGAACACAGAATCCTGCCCATCCCACTTAGTCCCAGTCTCTCTTGCTTCCTATGACCCTTCCCCGCAAAGAGCTTTGGGTGATTGGGGGAATGCAGTAACCAACATGGCCAGTGTAGGCTGGACAAACGGGGAAGACTCCTCAGGTGAAGAGGTCAGAGCAGTGCCTCTTGTTATGCAAAGATTAACCAAAAATTTCGCTGACAGAGATTAGCTTAATCAACAACCAACTCTTTCTTGAGCTTGATATGAATATTTTTGGAATTTCAAATATAAAATTCCCAAAGAAGAGGAAGGAAAACACCAAAGCATAAATTGACGTGCTGACCAGGTTTTAGCACATATTTCCATTCAAATAAATCAAGTAAAACATATATATTTGCCCTCAAATAAACCAGTAAATCACTCTTATTACTTACTGCAAACACATAATTGCTGAAGATTTTTAGTTCAACTGAAAGTGTAGGTTGTTTCTGGAGAATGGCCAAATGCTGAAGTGCTAATGCAACAAGTAGCAGGTTAACAATAATTAGTACATTTTCCAAACCAAAAATCGATGCCAGTTATGATGATTTATTTGCATTGTAATAGTGGCTAGAAGTCCCAATCAGGGATCAGGACTTCATTGTGCTTGGCTCTGTACACACACAATGAAAAGCAGATTCCTGCCAAAAAGCAAATTGTTGCAAACAAATCTGTCCCTCATCACAGTATAATGACAGAGACAAAATTGGTAAGCACCAATTTGAGACCAAAATATTAAAGGTCATATTACACCCTTGGTAGGAGTACACGGTACCAGTTTAAGTACTGTGTACATGGATCAGAGAGCAACAGCAATTAGTGATGGAAAAACCCTTTTAGTCGATTCAGTCTTTCCCCCTGCCAGTGCAAGATTTTCCCCAGGATTCATAGTAAAGCTCAGGCCTAAGTATGCCTCAATTTTAAATGACTTTAAACAGTTTATCTTTTGTCCCTTGGCAAGTGTGTAGTACACACTGGAAATTTTCCTCTTTATAAATGAGGAAGTGGAAAGAAAAGGCACTCAGAATGGCTCTGGAAGAATAGCACAGCTTATCTGCCTTGATTCCTTCCCATAATAAATCATGATTCTGTTCACTGTCATTTTGTTCTGCCTATTTGCCCTGAAAATGAAAATCCAAGTAGGAAAACAGCATGTAGAAAATAGTTGCATCACAGAAGTATCCTGAGACTATGAGCACAATAGAAAATGAAAGTTTGCAACTAAAAACCAATTTCCATTGCAAAAGCAGGTTTTCCTGCTGGAGTAAAAAAAGAAAAAAAATGTTTTTAAAGTATGTCTAGTTTACTATGCTGTGTATAGACACTGCACCTGATTCACACCTGTGAGTGGGGGAAAGGTACCTCTCGGCTCCCACGGGGCAGCTATACCAATCCAGCTAGAGAAATCCAGTCCTAGGGAAGGACACATGAGAGCTCCTCTGTTGCCTGCACTCCCTTGTAGTTTTTGTAAGGAGCTGGGAAGAGCTGTGCAGAACTCCATAAGAGTGTTCTTGTTGAAGCTGTCCTGGAGATCTGCCACATCTCCTGGGTGTCTTGGTCAACCCCCCTACTTTCTGGGTTGCCAATACTCAGCTCCCACTTCACTGGGCACATGGAGCTACATGCCTCTGGTGATACTGCACTTCTGTTCTGGTAGGGCTTTCTATCA